TTTTTATATACACTCTTTAAACAAAAGTTAGGTACGCAGTTTTTTATAACATTCAAATTTAGTATAAGAAAGTGCAGTCAATAAAGTTTAGATACAGCGAATTTTTTACAATACGCACAACTATTTTTTAAATGTTTTAATTTTTGCAAATTTTTTATAAAAATAAGGTTAATTCTACAACAAAAACTCCAAAAATCAGAGTTCCAAACCTTGTGCAAAATTAAAGAAAATTCTGCAAAATTTCATCCAAATATGGCACTTTTCATTTACACTCTTTAGAAAAAAGTTGAGTACGCAGTTTTTTATTACATTCATATTTAGTATAAGAAAGTGCGAGTTTGGGGTAGCTAGGACTTACCATTGATTTTAAGCATTTTTTTTTGATGATGTGGCTCAGTTTCTCCATATAAAATAATGTTTGATAATTTTTGTATATGGAAAAAATGTGCAACATCTTCAACAAACAAATTTTCCAAAAATCAGTGGTAAGTCCCAACTTCCTAATACTTGCATTTTTCTTACACTAAAATTTATTGAGCTAAAAACTGCATACTCAACTTTTTTCTGGAGAGCGTAAATAAAAAGTGCAATGTTTGAATGAAGATTTTCAGAATTTTCTTTAATTTTGCACAAGGTTTGGAACTCTGTTTTTTGGGGTTGCCCGTATTGTAAAAAAAATCGCTGTACCCAAACTTTATTGACTGACTGTTTTACTGAAGTGATGTTTTGAAAGGACAGTGATTTGCCCAAATTGAATATGTTACATACACATATGTATAATAATAACAATTTATACCATGTATTATATGTAAAATTTTATTCAAGCATGTAGATATATATTTTTTTTCATTTTCATATTCATAAAATCTAAAAATAATTACTACATTTTAGTCCAAGATTTCAGAGCCGCCAACCATATATATACATATATGATATATTTTCTCACTAACAAAATTTAGGGAATATACATAGTGTTATGTGTATTTAAGAATGTATGTATGCGTATGTATCTGTTTGCTTGTGTAGACGGTCCTTTTACAGGAAGCAGGTAGAAAAGTACAATTCCAAGGCACTATGACTACATATGTTCAGAGAAAATGGTCAGCCCAATGTCCCCTTTTAAAAAAATACATATACGTATTATCTATATATTAATACGCTAACGAAATCCCATACAAATGTATTCCTCCCTACTGCTCCTATGTTTCTCAACCAATTTGAACGATTCTTCTTTTGTTCGAAAGGTATTTCAATGGAGAGTTGCGCATTTTGTTTTTTCAGTAGGTGGAGTAGGAGTGGAGTTATTCCGAAAAATTTCATTTATGGTCCGATTTGCAGTGCATATTACTAATTACGATATTCAAAGTGCATATTATTAACATCAAGAGAAATACACCTGCAAAAAATGGACCCGATAGGTGGCTCCCGAGCCGAGTTATTCCAATTTCCGTATAAGCCTATGAATGCCTGCTTTGGTTTCACCATCTACTATATATATATTAATTCGCTAACGGATTCTCATTCAAATCTATTCCTCCCTATTGTTCCTATGTTGTCAAGTGCATTGGTGTAACTTAAAATGTCGTTGTTTTAAGCTGAATTGCTATTAAGTAAAAAAAATATAGAGCGGAGTTATTTCCCGCTTTGGGGAAAGGGAGGGGTGAACTCATTATACGCTGCTAAATTCAGTTTTTCTGTGTTTCGTTGTTTCAAGCTGACTCGCTATTTATTAGCAAAAATATCAAACCAAGCCACTTCCCCACCCTGAGCAAAAGAAGTGGTGAAGTCTATCTAAACGATAGTTACCACCGAAATCGAGCTATCCCAAATTAAAATTCATGAAATATTTTCATGTGATGCGACTGACTTAGAAGAGTGCATTGGTACAGTAACTTATAAGTGGTTCTAATGTAATATCTTTTTAATATCTATATATTAATACGCTAACGAAATCCCATACAAATCTATTCCTCCCTACTGCTGCTATGAATTTCAAAATTATTTAACATAATACAAACAAGTAAGAAGGTCTAAGTTCGGGCGGAGCCGAACATTAAATACCCGGCGCAAGTATTAAAGATATGTTTTCCACCTTGCCGAAAGCTGCCGCTAGATGGTAAGCCGGGGTGTATACATTTTAAGTAAATTGGCGTCCTTAAATTTCGACATATTGAAATTTCAAGCATTTCTGAAATTTATTGTTATATGAAAAGCGGCCGTAATTTAAGACCGATTTCAACAATTTTCAACGGTTTGCTTTTATGTGGCAAGCACAATAATCATACCGAGTTTGGTACAAATTGCTAGAACGGTTAGCGAGATACATATATGTAATCACAAGTGGGCGGTGCCACGCCCATTTTCCAAAATTTTATCATAAACGTATTTCTTGGTAAAGAATTGTTGCAACCATCAATTTTGAATAAATTAGCTTTGATATTTACTGATTTATCGAAGATTTTGTATTTCTCGAAATTACCGTTATATGGAATGTGGGCATGGTTATTGTCCGATTTTAAAAAGTTTCGGCCATTTGGTATGCTGTACCAGGACCAACAACTGTGCCAAGTTTGGAAGAAATTTGTGCAGCGGTTACCAAGATATACACATGTAACCATAATTGGGCGTAGCTACGCCCATTTGCCAAAATTTTAAAATATTCTTATTTTTCGTCTAAAACTCATTGTAAATATCAATTGAATTGAGTGAATTATCTTCAGTAGTTACTAAAATATCGCAGTTTTCGTATTTCATAAAATTACCGTTATATGTGAGGTAGGCGTGGTTATTGTCCGATTTTTTAAATTTTCGGCCATTTAGTATGATGTATCAAGGCCAACAACTGTGCCGAGTTTGGAAGAAATTGGTGCAGCGGTTACCAAGATATACACATGTAACCATAAGTGGGCGTGGCTACGCCCGTTTGCCAAAATTTTAAAACATTCTTATTTTTCGTCTAAAACTCATTGTAAATATCAATTGAATTGAGTGAATAATCTTCAGTAGTTACTAAAATATCGCAGTTTTCGTATTTCTGAAAATTTCAATACCATCCGTCCTACGCCCAAAAGAAGTTCACGTACCAGGTTTCATTAAGATATCTCAATTTTTACTCGAGTTATCATGTGCACAGACGGACAGACGGACGGACGGACGGACAGACAGTCACCGCTTAATCGATTTATCTTTTCATTCTGATCATTTATGTATACATTTGTCTATATCTATCTCGATTCGTTTTGCCTGTTACAAACAACCGTTATGTGAACAAAGTTATAATACCCTTGTGCACAAGTGCGCTCGGGTATAAAAACCTAGACGATCAACAGGTGATGATGGACATAAAAACTTCCCAAGCAAAATGAAAAATTGTGTAAAAAAAGTGAGGTGATCGGGGCGATACTAGTAATTATTATTCGACTTAAATAAGGCTTAAGCTTGTTCGCTTGTGTAAAATAAATTTTTTGAGACTTTTCCAGATATACGTATTTGGCATGATTCAGAAAAAAAATAATTTTTCTAAAAATGAATTTTATTCTAAAAATTTATTATTTTCTATGATTTTTTCCCCGTTTTGGTATAAATATTTATTTCTTAAATTTTATGATCAAAATATCTTCATACAGAAGACGAAGAAGAAGAAGACAAAAAACATAAAACGTTAAAATAATTCACACAGTTTGCTTATAAGTGCGAAAACTCTTTGGGAATTATGCTGCCCTTTATTCCCAAAGCGTTAAACTGAAAACCTCTAGCTAGCCTTCGAAGCCTCGACATTTTTACCAATCGGTCAAATTATTTTGAAATATTTCTTAAATTTCGAGATAGCCAGTTATTTAAGTTTCAGAAAATCGTCCAAATATTAATTTTAATTTACTTCAACTGCACTTTTTAATACCTATAAAAGTTCCAGATAGCAATCGACAATTTTTTTATGATAGGCTATTCCGATCTAAATAATTATTGCTAGTGCAAATAAAACATTTTTTTTTTTTAAATATGTTTGGCGCCACGATTTTTGTAAGTACTATTTTACTTGAAAACAAAATCTTTGCTTCACATGAACTCCGCTATGTACATATATTTCACCGCTTTAATCGTTTCAAACGCCAATTGACCCATTTTCCCCATGTCAAATCTACTTTGGCATTTAAAGTTTCCAATAGATGCCGGTCAATGGCGAAAACTGAATGCATTGCATGCGTACAAAAGCAGGAGCTTAGACGAGTAAGTGAGTGCAAAAAATAACGTTGATAACACGTAGAAAATAGCAATGGAACGCGAAATGCATAAAGTTTGGCTTTTCATTTTCTGAGTGTGTGTGTGTTTTTTTTTTTTTTTGCCGTAGTGGATGTTAATCAACGACTTTTGTAAGTCTGTTTTGTGTGTATGTGTGTAACCTACGCACAGAAGAGAATGAAATTGCGTAAATTAAATTGCAGCATAAACGTTAAGAAGTTCATTGAAGCATTCGCTGAAAGGAAAGCTTAATTGGCAACTGTGCGTGAACGCTTTTGTAACACATTTATGGTGGCACTGCTGGTTTGCAATCGAATCGGACAGAAATTTTCAAAACAAATAATAGATGACCATACAACAACTACAATGAAACGATTGCAAACGCATCGAAAAGCAAACCGGCAAACAGGCATCGCTAGCCATCAAATGTGGCAGCCATCAGGCAATCCGTTGCCAGCCAAGCGTCGAATGGCTGACATAACTGACCCATGTAGGCTGCTGACGTGTGCTTACAGTTCTCCTCTTGTTGATTGGCAGCGTTATACATACTACATATGACATGTCCAAATGATTTTTGAACTAAACACACACTACCGCATAGCTTGCAAGCCTTTCCACTGCCTTCTACTGTTTATTAATGCTCTCGATATTTTTAACTTTGGTATTTTTTTTTTAATCTGCTTTTCACCACTTCAACACTGGAAATTGCTTACATGGGATCTACACGTGCATGTTTTTGTGTGCCTATTTCTGCGCCACAGTTCGAACAATTGGCCTTCACGTGGATGGAGCGTCAGAAATTGGGCGGTAGCTATTCGTCGCATCGAGCGCAAAGTGAAAAGCACGTAGTCGTCTGTTCTACAACACTGCATGCCGATACAATCATGGACTTCCTCAACGAATTTTATGCGCATCCACTGCTGCAAGACTACTATGTGGTGCTGCTGAGCCCCATGGAGCTGGACACAACAATGCGTATGATATTGCAGGTGCCGATTTGGGCGCAACGTGTCATTTATATTCAGGTGAGTAGCACGTAACGCGAAAGCGCTTGCACACATCCGCTTGTTGTGCTGATTAGTTTGCGCATGATTTTGTCTGTCGTTGACTGCAGCTAATCTATGCCTACATACGTAAGTGTGGCACTCTAATACGCTGTGCAGTTGAAGCGATTGCCGCGCTGACTCTTGCCCTCTCGAGCTTTTCTAGAGAGGCTCTGGCCTGTGCACTAATTATGCCAAACATTATGCTTTTGTCTTTACAGGGTTCCTGTTTAAAGGATGGCGATTTGGCACGTGCGCGCATGAATGAGGCGGAGGCTTGTTTTATTTTAGCTGCTCGCAATTATGCCGATAAGACTGCAGCCGACGAGCATACGATATTGCGTTCGTGGGCGGTTAAGGATTTTGCGCCGAGTGTGCCGCAATATGTGCAGATATTTCGGTGAGTTTTTAGCAAGAAAAATACTCCAAAAATACGCAGAAAATAATGGTTAATATATCGTTATGCCGAATTTCCACTAGGCATTGCAACGACAAAAAATATATGTATGCCATTAAAAAAGAAAATGACATATGGAAAGGAAATTAATGACAAATTTTTTAACGTATTGACGCGAATGTTTTTTAATGCCCAACTTTGTCATTTGTCATTTTTGCCATTTAATGCCTAATGGAAATCCAGCATTGCAAAAAGTAGGAGGAGAACTTGGCTTCGCTTGACATATCCAATTGGCGCCGGTTGGCACAGAAGAGATTTTAGGCATTAAGTAGGAGTTGCAAGATAGTTAAGTAAAATAAATTAAAGTATTTATCTGACGCTATAGACTTAGGGTGCGTTCACGCAGAAAATCGAGCGGCGCCGAGCTAAGCAAGGCGGAACAAAGTGAAGCTGCTGGTGTTCTTACTGAACGAAGCGAAGCGGAGCTTTTCTCATGGGCTCGGCTGCAAAGCTACTACAAAAGTTATCGTCAATGAAAAGCGGCGAATATATTTGCTCAATTTTATTCAAAAGATTAGTTGTAAAATTCTTTTTTATTTTAATATTTTCATATCTTGTTTGCAGCAGCGCCATGAAGCTGAAAAATTAAATAGAAAATTCAAACTAAATACTTTATGGGTTAGAAAACTTACACCTTAGCTTCTTCATACCTCAACTAAACTCACCTCACCTAAACTTGCCTCAGCTCGCCTTAACTCACCTCAGTTCGCCTAAACTCACCTCAGTAGACCTCACATAAATTCATCTCACTTCACATCAACTTAACCCACCTATCTTCACCTCACCTTAGCTCACCTCCACTCGCCTCTGCTCAAAGAAGCAAACATATACATATGTATCATAAAATTGTAACAGGTCGATGTCTGTACATTACAGATATTAAAGAAAAATGAATATAGGGGTATTTATTAACTTAACTTAACTTAAAATACAGAAGGAAAAACAATTAGGGGTTGCCACCATATTGCAATATGGCTGTCAAAATAAATACGTTTAAGAAGGCTTACAGCCGAAAATATTTTTGTGGAGGCTGCCACATGTTTGAAAATTTTAATTTAATGCAATTGATAAGATAAATTTTCAACTGAAACTGAAGAAGTTAAGTAAAGTTAACTTCCGAAAATGTTGCTTAGATGGGTTGCCAACTGTGTGAAAAATTTTATTTCATTAATAATAATAATAATAGTAATAGATTGGCGCTTACACATATGTCAGTGCTTGGCCGAGCTTCTCCTCCGATTTGTGACGTGCGCCTTGATGTTTTCACACAAAGGGGAGGGACCTAAAGTTGTATGGCGACCCCGAACGGCGATTGTATTTTTATGAGAAGCTGTTTTTCTTGGCAGAAATACACTCGGAGGTTTTCCATTGCCTGCCGAAGGTCGACCACTGTTACTTAAGAACCCAGGCCCTGCTAGTAACAAATAAAATTTATTACTGGAAATCTCGAAGCAGTCTCGAAAATCTCCAAAAAGTCCCTAATACAAAAATCCAGAAGTACGTATTAATGAAAATACAAGTCACCTGATAGATTCTACATCATGTCGAGGAGTAGAAATTAATGAAAAAAATCTCGGACAAGTAAAAAAGGTAAAAAAGAAAATTTCAGTTTTTCAAAAGCAGGTGTGGGTTTTTAATCAACAACAAAAGTCCAAACCGCTCTTAAAATGCGGTTTCGATCGAGGAATTCATATTTTTTCTTTGCTTCTGAGGCGGTTATGCAAAGTTTTTGCACTGGCGAGGCAGAATTTTTTTATTGAATAAATGAATTTAACCAAAAAATTGACAATTGGAAATTTCTTTTTACTTATTTTTTTAATGATAGAACAAATAAGAATGACATTAATAATTAAATTATAATATATTTCATATAGAAAGCCAATACATGCTCTTGCAGAATTATTATTTTTTTGTTTTTACTTTCCGTTTCCTTATAATTAATTTCTATCTCTAATTCTAGTTTATTTCACGCACGGTTTTTTTTTCTTCAGAAAAACTGCGTCCAAAATTATTTTTTTTTTTTAGTTTTGAAAATTTTCCACTTTACAATTTTTTTACGTTTAAAAAGTTTTGTTTTTTAACAAGACATGTTAGAAACATGTAAACGGATATGAAATCAGGATCCAAATAAAATATCGGATGCATTTTAGAGTGCAGTAATCTTAAAATGACATTTGTTATCAAGTTTCATTCGATCACATAAGTATGTGCATACATATGTCGTGCTTCGGGCTCTGTTTGGTCTATTCAACTTGGACATGCAGAAAAGTAAAAGCAAAATCCCACAAAATTTAATAGAAAATATTTCTCCTGCTGCTAACTTATTTTTATTTTTGTAGTATGCGTAAATCAACCTGTTTTCATTGAACTTTTTTTTTTTTTGTGTTCACACACTGACCCCAAACAAACATTCAAGCAAACATAAGACGAACACAAAATCGAGCGCATTACGCGACTGAACGGTTGAATTATATCCCATTAATCTTGCTAAGTACTGGCGGTTTTGCGATGGACCGTTGCTAGTGGCATTCAAAACAATGGATCGACATACCCTGAATTTGAACCAACTTTGTAAGTACCAGTATGTACATATAAGGGTGGTCCAAAAAAGTAAAGTCGGAATTTTAATGCTCTCAAACACTAGGAAGGTTCTGTACCGAAAAAAATAGACACTAATTTTTTTTTTTTTTTATCAAAAGGTATCTCGGGGTCGCTCAAAGTATTCCATGCATTTTACCTGAAAAAAAAAAACAATTTTCGTAGAAATGGTATAGAATTCTCTAAAATCAATGTATGTCGTTAAGGAAATTCGGCTTCTCTTTACGAGACCTCCGATAATATTACGCAATTGTTTATTTTACCATTGCATTTTTTGGTCTTCTTGGGTTAACTATAAAATATAGTTTGTATAAAAAAATGGTTAAATTAACAATCACGTATTATTATTGGAAGCCCCCTAAAGAAAAGCCGAGTTTTGCTATCGCAAAATATATATTTTCAAGAATCCTATACCATATAATTTTTTCCTATACTAAATACAGGGAAAACTTTAGGCGCTCTAAATATTTTTTGATTTCAAAATAAAATAAAAAAAACAGGGGTCTATTTTTTCGTCATAAGAGAACCTTAGGGGGTGAGAGCATTTAAATTCAGACTTTACTTGGTTTTACCACCCTAGCATGTATGTAACTACCCTGTCGGAATAAAGTAACAGTCTCAAAAATGAAGTCGTTGGAAATAAATTACTTTGAAGCAAATGCTGCTGGCGAATCTACGGCTCGGCTCATTAAATTCTGTTTTTACTATCCATTCAGCCACTTACTTATTTTAGATATCTTTAAGCCAAATTCAGTTTAAATAAGTTTAAATCATATGCAGACTGGGAAGTGTTTGACTCGCTCACTGTACTTCAGGCTGAACATTTGAAAACAAATTTACATATCTGGCTGTATCTGAGCAGAGGAGAATGCTGTTGTTTTTTAACTCCAGAAGGTCCAGGTTCGAATGCCATCAGAAGCAACATTTTAAAATGATAATAAACATTTTTTTTTGTGTCTCCTAACTATGAAAATGCATATGTGAAGTGCAGGGCGAAAGCGTATTCAAACGAGAAAAGCACAAAAATTGGCAAATGGCAATTCTAATGCAAATCCAAGACCATCTGCACATTATACTGAACAGCCCTACTAATTTTGAAGTCATTTAAACCAAATGCGTCTTAAAGTAGTTGAAATCAAATGGAGAGTCGGATAATTGACTTGCTTCAGAAGAGCGTTTTGTTAATAAAGTTAGTTGCTTACAAGAAAAAACCACTTGTAGTTGGTAAAAAAGTACTTTTTAAATTGCTTTTAAAGTTGTTCCATTTCCGGCAGGGTTGGTACAATTAATTAGCCGCAATGATAAATGGGCGCTGATAGCGAGCGCCCTACAATACATGGCAACAATGACTCAGAAGGGGAGTGCAGAGCAGTAGTACAGATGTACTTATATAGGTCGCAACTCAAACGCGAAAGGGTAAACACCTTACACAAAGTTAGAAGATCTCTCAGCAGTGGAAAACGGCACGGTTGCGGTTATAGTTTTTCCAGTGGTAGTTTTTTATTTATGTATATATATGTATGTAGTATTTATACTTGTATGTACGCACTTAAATCATTTTATTGTTCGCTTTATTATTGTTAATTTTTCATGAAATGCTACACTCGCACCCCCCTCGCACAACGCTGGATCGTCCACCGCAACAATGACACTGGACCACTTTAACTAACGCGACCTTAAAATGCAAAAACAAAACATCCAATATTTGCTGCGTATACATAAACAATGGAACCCTGCGGATATCAACAATTGTAACAATGAATGGATTCGAATGGATTTTGGCAACTCGACGCATTCTCGTTCGACCGCAACACATGGACTTGGCTCAATTTTTGTTCTTCCATTTTTGCATGGCTGTTGGCACTTTTTATATTTGGTTCGTTGCTGGTTTTTGGCAAACCATCATTTGGGAACGGCGGACCGCCAACCGCAAACCGCAGACCGGAGCACAAACTTCATGTGAAATTTGCGGAGCATGTCGTCTGCGAGGATGAATTCAAATATGCGCTGCTAGCCAACAATTGCACTTGTCCCGGTGCGAGTACGTTGGTCACATTGTTGTTGCACACGTCACGCGGACAGTAAGTAAACGTTATGTATATTATTTTTTATTCATTTGATGGGCATTTCAATTTCATACACTTTTACATACATATGTATGTACATAAATATATGTACATATGGAAATACATAAATATGTTGAATGCGCAAATGAAAATATTTAGACAGAAATTTACACACTGCCATTAAGCCATTGTATATGTATATTTTTAGGCTAGTTTAAAAGGAATTATATTAATAAGAAAGGGACTTTTCCTACAATAAATGTTTATATAAATATGTACATACAGATAGTATTTGCCACACACATATTTTCAGGGACCCTACCGAATATGCACTTAAAAAATATGCATGAAAAAAATTGAATTTTTTAAGCCAACATTTTGAAGCCGAATTTAATTAAAATTCTTTTGAGGAGATAATATTCTGCACTTTTGAGACTTTTAACGCTAAATTACGGTTTAAATGTACCTTTAATATGTACCTTTAAAAATGAAAGCTGCCGAAAAATCTCAAAATATTCGTAATTATTCTAAATAAAGACGAAATATACCGAATGTACCCGCAAATATACCAAAGGGTTCCGAAAAAAATATGAACAAATAATCTAAAACATATGGGAAAAATCCCGCAGTCTGCGTAAATTCTGTGGAAGGTTTCGAACATATACTGAAAAGCTCCTAAAGGTACCTAAGGAGTACCAAAAAGTGACAAAATAATCCTGAAAGGAACAACAGAAATCCCAAAGAGTTCCAATACGCATGAACTATAAAACATCCCTTTCCGAAAATTCCCAAAGAATCCGAAAACCACCAAAAACTCATAACTCACTTCATACTCTTATCAATAGCACTACAGGGGCGGACCCAGCCGCAATTCTTGGGGGCGTGGGAAATTTTTCAACATATATCGTGTATATAAATTTAAAAATCACCGCAATTTAAAATAATAATGAATACTAGATTTCTAGAAATTTTTTATTTTTCAAAAATTTTGGGAATTGTAGGAATGCCAACAAATTTTTTCTAAGTAAAAGTGTCGAATATACAAAATTGATCAAACGAAATTAAAAGTTTTAGAATGTTGAAAACATTTTCATATTACGCCGTTTTTTCAAAATTTAAAATTTTCGTAATTCTTGAAGATTCAAAAAATTTTTGAACGTTGATGTTTTAAAAATTTTCAAAAAATTTTAAATTTTCAAACTTTGTTTTATCAATACAAAATTTTGGGAAAGTTCAGAAAAGTGGAAAAATTTTAGAATTTTTCAAAAATGTTAATATATTTTAGAATTCTAAGAAAATTCTATTTTTTATACACAAGTACCATGAACATAAGAATTTTTCGACAACTCGTGATGTTTCACATTTCTACATTTTAGGATGGATTTTAGATTGTTCTAGAAAATTCTCAAAATTTTGGAAAATATAAATATTCCTAAAATCTCAATAATTTTGTACATTTCAAAATATTCTCATTTTACCAAAATTTCTAGAATCTCCCGGATTTCGATAGTTTTTGAAATTTTGGAAATTATCCTAAAAATAAAAATCTTGACATTTCTTTCAATATAATAACTTTATAAAATTAAAAATTCTGGAATTTTCGTTGTTTTCTAAACCTGTGAAAATATTTAAACTTGCTATGACTTTCAACTGTGTAAAATAATACAAATTCGAAAATACAACAAAAAAAATTGAAAATTAAGTAAATAATTTCAAAATTTTTAAAATTCAGTGAATTCGAAAAACTGATAGGCCTACTCAAATAACACGATACTTCAAGCTTCAAGCACACAGCTAACATTTCAAACTCAAGTGAAATTTGACACACTTTTTCCATGAATTAAAACTTTCAAAAGCCATTCCATTTTTTTACATTTGGTACATGAAAATTTTGCCTGAGAAGACCCCTTGTAAAATTTTCCTAAGAATCTAGAGAATTATTCTTAGGAAAATTTTAATCCTCTAATGAACTTCCAAATTTACTTGTTGGGCGGTTTCTCGAAATAAAGTCAAAACGACCCTATCTGGCAGGAGCTGGTGGGTTAAAATGTTCTATAAAAATATTTCCCATGAAATTTTACTATGTGCCTTTAATTTCGCTCAGACATTTATTTTTGAAATTGTCTGAGGTTTTTTTTTTAAGACTTAGGTGATAAATTAAAAATTCGAGCCAACTTTTGCAAATCCAGCGAGTGCGTTACAACTGGATAGGTATACTTTCAGAAAATGTTAACAAAGTTCAGACTGGTTTCGGTTGTCGCACAGTGTTATCTCTCGCAGCGGTTTCGTGGACTGTGTGACTTAATCCCACAATATCTTTTCTTGTAGGTTTTCCTAAAGTCGCAGGTTAATGCCAATAAATCGCATTCGATCGTTTTCCTATATTACCCAGAGAAAATTCTGATTACTTGCTGTATGCCGATGATCTGAAACTATTTCGTTAAATAAATGAACTGTTACTGGCCCGCGGTTAATTCAAGAACATCTATATAATCTTGAAATATGGTGTTGCACATATTGCGTTAAACCAAATCCTGCTAACAACAACCTACTTCTGGTGTTACTTTCAAATGTTTTAATTTTTATTTTTATTCTTTTTTTTTGCGTGCTATAGTTCGTTAAAATATTTCTTCTTCTTTATTGGCCAGTTTAATGCTGGATTTCCACTAAGCATTAAATGGCAAAGTCGGGCATTAAAAAATAATCGTATCATTACATTAAAAAGATAGTCAGTCATTAAGTTCATTTCCACATGGCATTTTTTTAAATGGCATAAATTTTTTGTCATTTCAATGCCTAGTGGAAATTCGATAAGAAATAATTTTCAAATGACAAAGGATAGGTTGGTCACCGCAGTGTAAGGTGGCCCTCCCATGGAAACACCCATATGCATATGGAAGCGCAATTTATTTACTTTTATTTTACACGTGTAGCACTTCGCCACATGTTTACTTGCTGTTTGCAAAAACTTATAGTTTTGACCTCGACTGGAAACATGAAACCGGGTCACACGGAAATATGAGTTTGTATTTATGTATTTATTTGCATGCGTCCACAGCAATACAAATGTCCATATCTACCATACAATTGCTGTCATTCCCAATTCACCAACTATGCATAATACTTTTTGCAAATAGCAACTACGACGAGCAATCAGTTAAATGCAAACAGTGCAGGACAAAATATTAATGCATTCTAAAAAAAACTAAATTTTTCAAAGCTGTAAACAAGATGAAATAAATTTTGGCTGTGAAATACTATAAAGTTGTTCAGAGCGAAGAAATAAAAATTCGTGCATCCCCAATCTAAGTAATACAGGACGTATGAGTAACGTCTATACATTAGTATGATCGTCCAAACTGTAGAAATCTCCACCAAACCGAAATTTGGAATAAAAATTCTAGATTTTATAAAATCGTAACATATTAGTTAAATTTGCAAATTTGGATATCTATATTCTCGATCAAATTTAATTGTTACATTCAGATTTAATTTTTTGAATCATTAAGTACTCAAAGTAGGCATAAAAACTCAAACGTCTAAGACATAAAATAAAAGCAGCCAGTGAACCCCCGTGTTGTTAAAATGCCAAATTTTAATTTAAGTTTTAAATAGGTGGCAACCCTCTTCAAAAATATTTTCAAACCAAAATTTTCTTTAATCTTTTTCTCTGTTGATAAAGCGCGAGGTTTAAGGAGGTTCTATGCAGCTCTCAAGAAAAAAAAAGCCGAGAAAATCTTCAGGATTTTTTTTAAATTTAGAGCATTTAATTTTATCACCAATGCAAGAAAACATCAAATATTGCCAGTGGCGGATTTGAATATTTGTTGCCCTTTTTCCGTTAAGAAAAATATTTTGAGGTAAAAGTACCAGTTATGCAACGATTAGCAGTAAATAGTAATATTCAAATTTATGTTATTTACTATACTTTTATTACAATTTTTAAGAAGAAAAAGTGGTATTTACCTTGAATAAAGGTTTCCAATTTTTAAAGAAAGCCATCATCAATAAAGTTTTTTCACTTGGTAAGTACTAAGTAATCTCAAAAGTATTAAATTGGTGTTTTAAAATATTATCATTTAAATAATATCAAAAATACCGGTGTTGTCCTATTTTCTGATTGCGTAATTGAATCTATGTATGTCTCAATCTTGAATCTGTGTTTCATTTCGAAAGCGAAATATAATATTAAAAAAAAAAACTTAATTTATCGGCATGCGTCACTTCACAAATGTTTTTAAAACTTTAATGTTTAATTTTCCTTGCAACGAACCAGCGGCCAACCAAATCATCGAACTTACCCTTCGCTAAAAATATATCAAATATATTTTTAGACCACGGCTGTACCGGAAGGATTCCAGTTCACCATTTTCTTTGTTATGTAGACGTACACAAGCAAATATTTACTATCTACAATAACACTTTCAACCGCACAATGGATTTTACTTTAATTTCATTTTAATACTACAAAAGTTCTTCGTAAGCCAGCAGACATAAAAACTCACACAAATACAAATACAAATACAAATACACAAACATCCTGCTGCTTATATTTATACCACGCAAATATATGTATGTATGTACATAACCATACATACATATATATTTGTATTGTTGCTGTCGTATCGCGGTGTTGAGCTTTTCCTGGAACACATTAAACGGACATTAGTGGCGTAATCGCTCAGCAACCCGTTTGCGCGCTGTCAATGCTTTTCCGCTTACTTTCCGCATTTTATGACCATTTTGCCAATTCCGTAAGGTCACATATCTTAGGCTTTCCCACCCGATGCCGTTGACAGATGCATTTGCCGTGTAATGGTGGTGTACATATACATATGTATATGTATGACTACTAGAATTTGTGGTCATTTTTCCGTTATTTTTTTTTCAGTTACCTGGATTTTACGGGAAGCCCCCATAACTTAGTTGGTATAGACCTCCTTTTATGTACATATTTTTGTTTGTATGTATGTACTTAAAAAAACCCAGACAATGACACGGCCTTTCCCATTGAA